TGTTTTTCCGTCCTCATCTCTCAAATCAGGATTAGCTCCTCGTTGAAGCAGTACCTTCACTATCTGCAAAAGGTAGCACTTTAAACTCGTTCCATTTTTTTATGAAAAGCACTCACGTCTGGTCGCCCAAAAGAAGCAGCATAGTGAAGACTACTGCTTTTATGCCCTTTGTTGACATCAGCACCCTGTAAGCTATTTGATTTGAAGACAACATAGAGGAAAAAACAAATTGAATTATTTCACAAGATTCAGAAAATAAATGTTTGCGCTTGGACCATGTTTCTAAGATCAGCACTGAATAAGAAGAAAAAAGCAACAAGCGTGCTCAAACTCATGATGCGTTCTCAACTGTCATATTTTGTTGTTTTATGCTCATGACGACGTTATTTACCTTATCGCACAGATACTGAACCATCTCCAGTGAACCAAATGCGGAAGCCCAATTGCACAATGTTTGTCCGACGTCATCGGTGAAATTCACATCAACCTTACAATGAAAAAAATACAGGAAATCAAGGCATAACAATGATGGGAGAAAAAACAAAATAAAACAAATTTCTGAACTTACAACTCCATTGTCTATCGTGTCGACCAGAGCACTTAGATCCTTTTGCCTTATTGCATCAATCAAGTGACGGTGAGCACGCTCAGCACTTTGACCGCTCTGACCTGGCTCTCCACTCGACTGATACTGGAACTTTGATTTTCATTAACTATTAATTTTATTTGCGCATCACATTCCTTGAGTGTCGGAGCAACCAATTTTCAACGTCTCAAATTTTTTGATTTGTTCATAGTTCTAGTCTCACAATCATGAATTTATGTCAAAATTCTAAACTATCGTAAACATTTGGATCGTTTTCGCATTAATAAAATTTACAAGAAAAGTAGATACCATGAAAAACATAACCCGTCGCAGTTGAATTTTGCGGGACAGCAATACTATCAATAATATCTCATTTTTTCAGTATTAAGTTCCGATAGTAACTGTAACTATCCTAGGAAATGTTCACAGTCTTCACATCATGTATTGCCTCTACAACTATAACGCTATATGAGCTGACCCACGCGAACTGTTTGAATACTTGAAAGCGAGAGATTTTAGGAACTCAAACACCGAAGGACTAATTCTATCCATTCTAAACGATATAGGAAAAAGTCGACTATCAAGAAATATATTATATATAATATCGAAGTGCTGCTCACAGCCATCGTAAATGGAAGAGCCGAACGTCCTTCACTTAGCAACACAACAAGAAGGT